GGATCAGGAACAATCAGCACTGAGGGCAGGGATGGATCAGGAACAATCAGCACTCAGGGATCAGGAACAATCAGCACTGATGGATCAGGAACAATCAGCACTGATGGATCAGGAACAATCAGCACTCAGGGCAGGCATGGATCCTGCAATGCTGGGCACTGCAGGAGTGGGCACTGCATTGCTCAGAGCAGGTTGAGCCCCAGTCTCACTGCTGGAAACTCTACCTCCACACAAACACAGAGGTTTGGGTTGAAAACACAAAGGTTTGGGTTCAAAGCCCTCTCTCTCCCCACTCAGCTCTGCTCAGGAAACACTGGCAGGCTCAGAAACTCCAGGCAGAGCAGGGAAGCTCCTCAGTTTTTAGGACAAGTTTGGTCAAACCTTCCAGGCAAATAGCTGGGAGCAGTTTTGTCAGAGCTGGTTTACACACAGATGTTATAAGCAGGAAAAAAACAGCCAAAATTTTCCTTGGCTTCATCATCTGTAGGGCAAATTAATTTCAGCTCATCCACACTATGTCCTAAACTAGCCAGGAAAATGAAATAAATTACCTTACACATCACAGCCAGCTCAATTTCCTACGATTTTATCATAAACTTCCACATTACCAGCCAGAAAAGTGACCTGATCTCCTTTACCTTCCAGGGATTTATGGAAGCAGCATTCCCCAGAACCAGGCTGGAGAGTGTGTAATTATAGCCAGGAACAGAAGTCATCTCTCTGTCTCATGAATTTCATTTCAAACACCCTCCCTCCAATATTTATATTTGTTTCACCACGGGTTTGCAGAGACAACAGAGTGAAGAGAGCTTCCAGAGCACATTCCCAAAGACCTGGTGATTATGGAGTCATCTTGTGAGAGGAGCAGCCTCTTACTCAGAGGATAATTACATGTTTGTCATTATCATAAATCTGCATCTCATTTGCTCCACCACTCCCAGCTATTAGTGCCCTGAAGGTGCTGCACAGGGCACAGCCACATCAGGAGAAACCTGGGCAGCCACACAGGACAGAAAGGAGGGAAGGCATGAGAGGCTCTGGAGGTGACGAACACATCAGGAATTCAGAACTGAGGCCTCAGAAACTGGAGCAAGGTGAAAAAGCAGAGTGAGAAAATCACAGGAAAAAAGGAATTTCATTTCCAAGGAGCTGTGTTGGGTTTGCTGCTCCTGCAGAGCTGGGGAAGGTTCAGCTCTCCTCACTGAGCACCTGAGCCTGAACCTCATGTTTGGACATGAGGTTCTTTGAGAGAGCCACCAACCCTCCCTTCTCTCTCCTCCTGCTCCCCTGGTGTGGGATTAAGCCTCTTCTGCCCAAAGATGGGTAACTGAGAGGGGTTTTCAAAACTTTTATTCCATTTTCAGTCTCACCAGAAGGGTGGGACAATACAGATATTAGAATTCACACCATCACAACCAGAATCCAACTATTTCCTAATTACAATACACTATCAGTGTTTCTTGGTCTATCAGCTTTAGCCACACCATGCTGTACATGTCTTAAAGACAATAATACAAAATTACCCCTCATGGGTCCTACTACAATACACCTTTCACAGTTCTATTTCTCCAAACTATCCAATCTTATTTGCAAAGCCATCCTTTAAAACTTGTTTCTGGCTCCATTTCTCTCTCAGCAATGTCTGCTTTATTCCATGGCATTTCTAAAACAGCATTTCTTGTCTCAAAGTTTGCACACTTTGAGAATTCCCTACAAATCCATTTCCCACACCCTGATACTCACCTACCCGGAGAAAGACAAGAGGCCTTTCCCATATCCAATCCTGTCTTTATCCATGTTAAATAGTACTAAAAGTTATTTCCCACCTCTATTTAAGATTAGCTGAACCTGTATCATGGATGAAATTCACTGTGGCACAACCCTGTGTAAAAGGGTTTTTTTTGGCTTGTACTGATTAGATCCTCTCCTAAAAGAGCAGTGGGGGGGAATGGAAAAGTGAAAAACAAATGGAGAACTCTGAAAAACAAATGGAAAAAAACATATAACTGAAAAAAAATGGGTAACTCTGGGAAAATAAATGGTTAACCTGGGGGAAAAAAATGGATAACTCTGGAAGCAGAGTTTGAATTAGAGCCAAACTTACCGGGATTCTTTCTTCAATATTCAGCTCTTCCTTCTTGGGAGTCTCCAGGGCTGCTCCAGAGGGGATGGGGCTGCTCCCTCCTGCAGTGGGGCAGGGCCTGGGCACCACCAGGGCCCCCTGAGGCTCCTCAGGACCAACAGGAAAAGTCAGACTCTCCAAGGGAATGACTCCAAAGCTGTCCATGATGTGACCAGTGGGGATACTGAGGTTGGGGGACTGATTTCCCTTCTCCTCACAGTCCTGGTGCTCCTCAGCTGGGGAGCTCCCATCCTTTTGAGGGAGCTGAGCAGCACTGGGCACAAACACATCTGGGGCTGAGCTTCGCCTGGTGGTGCTGTGCCCATCTTCAGCAGGGGATCCAGGCAGCCCCTTCTGTGGGGTGGGGCTGTCAGAGCCCCCCAGAGTAGCACTCTGCTCCCCCTGTGCTGCAGGGCTCAGGGCAGGCAGGGCTGTGCTCCTGCTGGAGATGTTCATGGTGCTGTCAGACTGGGACCTGCTCAGAGGGAGGGCAGGCAGCAGCTCAGTCTGGGGGAAATGCACATTTCCCAGAGAACCTGTGCCCCTGCAGGCACGAGCAGCACTGCCCTTGGGGTCCCCCAGGCTTTCCTGCACTGCTGAAACACAGCCTGAATGCCTGGGAGGTGCACTGGAGGCTTTCCTTGCAGGAGGAGATGCACCTGGCACACAGGTGGCAGCAGGACCCTGCAGGTGCCAGGCTCCCACCTTCTCCAGGAAGCTCAGTGAGGGGAAGGACTGCATCCTGCCAGGGCAGGGAGATTCCAGCTTCAGGGACTCCAAACGCCCACAGGTCTCTGCCACAGCACTCTGGGGAGGGGGCTGCTCCTCCCCAGGGACAGGGGACATCCCTGGGGCTTCTTCACTGGGACACCAAGGAGAGGCCTGAAGGTCTGAGAGCATCACCAGGCCTTCACCAGGTCCTTCTGCCTTCCCAGCTCTCTTGAGGAACACCCCTGGCGTGGACTGAAAGTTGGGATGAGGCAGGAGCAGGGAGAAGGAGCCCTCAGCCCCCAGGCTGAAGGAAGGGGAGATCTCTGTGGCTTTGTGTCCCCTCTGTATGGAGCAGTCAGAGGCAGCGAGCTCATCCCTGCTCCCTGCAGGCTCTGGGGAGTGCCCAGGGCAGGGGGCAGCGTCCTGGGGCTGGGTCAGGCTGGGTGTCCCAGCAGGGAGCAGCCCCTCTGTCCCCAGCCTCCCTGCTGGCTGCTGCTGGCCCCAGAGAGCTGCCTGCAGCCCCTCAGGAGCAGCCATGGAGCCCAGCCCCAGCTCCTGGGAACCCCTGAGCCCCTGGGAACCCCTGGGCTGCACCCCAGGCTCCTGCAGCCCTCCTCTGCCTGCCCCAGAGGCTGCTGCACAAAGAACATCTTCGGCAGCAGAGTTCTTGGCATGGCTTTTCCTCAGGCCATCAGAGAAGTTACGGGACAAACCAAGCCCAGGCATCTTCCTTCCCTTCTCCAGCTTCTCCAGGGCTCCTGCCCCACTGCCAGCCACCTTCACCTTCACCTGCTGCACACCCCTCTCGCTTTTCTCTGAGAATTTGGTCAGGGCAGTTCTGTAGGAAGAGTTTCCTGAGGAGGAGGAGGAGGAGGAGGAGGAGGAGGAGGAGGAGGAGGAGGAGGAGGAGGAGGAGGAGGAGGAGGAGGAGGAAGATTCCTCCTGCCCCAGGGACTCCTTGTTCCCCTCTGAGAGCTCAGGGGCAGCAGCTGGGCCATCACTGTCCTGGGAGGAGTGACCACAGGAGTCACCAGAGCAGTGTCCATCCCTCCCAGCTGTGCCCCGGGGCTGCCCCAGCCCCTTTCCCAGCCCCTGCTCTGGAGCTGGCTGTGCTGGATCCCCCCTGCCTCGGGGGATTGTTGCCTCCTGCTCATTGTCCCCACTGTCCCCATTGTCCCCCTGGCTGCCCAGGGGCTGCCCAGGCTGGGGAGCAGCTCCAGGATCCTCCTGTGCCACGGGCTGGGAGTGCTGGGGTGGGCTGGGAAGGGCTGGGCCCCTCAGGGATGCAGTGCCATGGACGTGGGCAGGCTCTGAACGCTCCAGGGATGCTCCAGAAACATCCGGGACTCCTCTGCAAGAAAAGGGAATTCCTGAGCATTTATTTTATTCCAACATCTCTGGTTTAAATCAGAGGCAAAAGAACTTCAGTGACAACTGGGGGTTAGCAACATTCACACAAATACCCATAAATGCAAGCCCTAAAGGGGCAAAACCCAAAGGAATGCAAAGAAATATCAAAAATCTCCTATAAAACAAAGGTTCAAAAATAATATAATAATAACATCAATTTTTACTTAGTATGGCAATATTGCTCCACCTGTTTAGGACTGAAACATTTCTTACTGACAGGCTGTTATTAGTTACATAAATAAATAAAATTAGCTAAGTAAAATATGCAACATGTACTTACACATATCTCAGCTTGCCTGTGATTTTTTAATACAAATTAATAATGTTGCATATTTTACAAGTACAAGCTACTTCAGTTCATTATATCAATTATTTCTTTAAAGGATATAAAAGCAGCCCGGTCTCAGATAAGCAACAAATTCCTATAAATTTCTAATTCTCATATGGGGGATTGTTTAATTAATAGTTCCTTTATATTAAACATATCATCAAAGTCTAATAAATATTATTCCATGCAAGCAGAGCACCTCAGAATGAAGGTGGCAAAGCTTTTTACTGAAAAAGCTCTTTCTTTATGCATTTAACCCCAAATTTGTACTGTAAATTACACATTTGGCTCCAGCATTTACAAACCACTACCCTGTCCATGTATGTTTTACTCCTGTAAATACAGAAACCTGATCTTTGTCCCCAAAATTTCATGGAGTTTATTCTGGAGTCTAAGAAGGCTCCAGAGATGTTGAAGAGGGTAGAGTTCCTCATTTTCCCCAGGAACCTCAGCATGACAAGCTCAGAGGAGCCTGCTCCTGCTTTTCCCTTGCTCAAGCTCTCCTGAAGGCAGAACCCAGAGGTGCCTCCTCTCCACACACCCCCAAATCCCATTTCTGAGCCCAGACCCTGCCATTGTCCATCACCCAAGTGCAGACCCAGCCCCAGGAGCCCCATCCCACCTGAGGGGAAGGAAATCCATCTGGGATCCCTGCAGGAACGTCTCACCCCGGGCTGGGCTCAGCAGCAGGGGCAGGCAGGGGGAGAATCTGCTCTCCTGGACATCTGGGGGAGAGAAAACACCAGCAGGGCACTGAGAGCTGGCAGCAAGCACCACAGTCCCAAAGATACCCAAAGATCCCAGCCCCACATCCCTAAGGACCCCAGCTGCACATCCCCCAAAGATCCCAGCCTCACAGTCCCAAAGATACCCAAAGACCCCAGCTGCACATCCCCAAAGATCCCCAAGGACCCCAGCCCCACATCCCCAAAGAACACCAAAGATCCCAGCCCCACATCCCCAAAGAACCCCAAAGATCCCAGCTGCACATCCCCAAAGATACTCAAACATCCCAGCCCCCATCCCCAATGACCCCAGCCCCACACCCCCAAAGATCCCCAAAAATCCCAGCCCAAAGATACCCAAAGATCTCAGCCTCACATCCCCAAATATTCCAGCCCCACATCCTCAAGGACCCCAGCCCCACATCCCCAAAGATCCTCAAAGACCCCAGCTGCACATTCCCAAAGATACCCAAAGATCTCAGGCCCACATCCCCAACGGTACCCAAAAATCCCAGCCCCACATCCCCAAAGGTACCCAAAAATCCCAGCCCCACATCCCCAAAGATCCCAGCCCCCACCCCCAGGCCCCCATCCCCAGTGACCCCAGCTCCCCATCCCTAAAGACCCCCAAATATCCCAGCCCCCACCCCCAGAGACCCCAGGTGCAGGGAAGGGGAGGGGGTCCCCCCTGGAGCCCCCTCCCTCCAGGACTAAACTCACCTGTACCAACCCCAGGTGTGCAGCACTCACCCTGGCACTGCCACCCCAAACGTGTCCCAAACCTCCTCCTGTGCCACCCCACCCTGCCCAGCCCAGCCAGCACCCCGGGCTGATGGCCAGGGGGCTCACACAGGGATTGGATCCCATCACCTTCCACTTTCCAGCCCCAGGATCCCACAGCTCCTTCAGAAACTCTGATTCCAGCCCAGGCTGTGCCATTGTTTTCCTGAGGGATTCAAGTTCAGGTAATAAACCCAGCAGGCAGAGATGATTGCTGCAGCAATTTTAGTTTCTATCCTGCATCTCTTTGCTCTTTGGGGTACTTGGGGTTTTTTTCCAGTTCATTGCTTACAAAAACAAATGGAAATTGCTCCTACCACAAGAATAAAACAACTCTAATACACATAGAATTATCTGTGGGATTTAGACATAACTGTATGCTTGGGGGGGTTTCTCCTTTTCTTAACTCTGACTTGGTGTCTGAGAAGTATAAATAACCACAGACAGGTCTGAGGAGTGCAAAACAATACTCCCAGTATTCTAAGCAAGCTTTGATTTTTAAAGGGAAAGAGCTATTTGTGGTCAAGGGAGTGACTTCCTAACCCAGAAATGCCATTTATTTAATTTAGGCTCATTAGTTTCCAACCTCTCAGACAAACCACAGTCTGCAGCACTCAGAGGAGCACAATCATACCAGAAAAATGATCATTACACACAAAAATCTCCAGTTTTCATTCCATCAGCTCCAGCTCAAGGCTTCTCCACCCACACTGCATCACCTGACCAGGGGCAGCCAACCACAAGGCAATCTTGCTCATTAATTTTTAATTTAACACTTCCAATTAACTTTTTTTTAATTACTTTAGAACTCTAGGTAGTGAGAGGATAATTAGCCAGATAGAATAACCGAATTTGCAACACCAAATATGATTCAAATGCTTTTTTGGAAGCTTGGAGAAAGGAAATGAGATGTAGCTTCAAAACCTAGGTGTAAACAGCTATTCCTGAGCAGTGTGACAGCAGGAGGAGCTCCAGAGGGCTCAGTCCAGAGCTGGATGGTAAAATGAATCCTGACACACATGCAGGGGTGACAAAGGAGAGGAGCAAAAGGCAGCACAGAGGGAGCAGAGCCAAGGGAGGAATGCAGGACCAAGGACTCACAGAATCACAGAATGATGAGGCTGGAAGAGACCTCTAAGATCATTGAATCCAACCTGTGCCCTAACACTTCAACTATAGCACCACATGCCATGTCCAATCTTTTTTTAAACACGTCCAGAGATGGTGATTCTACCACCTCCCTGGGCAGAGCATTCCAGTACTTTGTTATTCTTTTGGTAAAATATTTCTTCCTAACATCCAACCTATCCCTTCCCTAGCTTGAGACTGTGTCCTCTGATTCTGTCAGAGACCAACCCCACCAACCCCACAAGCTCCCTTCAGGAAAGTGTAGAGAGCAATAAGGTCACCTCTGAGCCTCCTCTTCTCCAGGCTGAGCACCCCCAGTTCCTTCAAATGTTCCTCAAAACTCGTTTGGAACACAGCAGCTCTCAGGGCTCTGTTCCACCAACAGCTCACCCCAAAGAGGGGGAGATGGGGCAGCCCCTGGGGAACAGTGGGACTGGGGCTGGGATGGGACTGGGGCAGGGATGGGACTGGGGCAGGGATGAGATTGGGATGAGGCAGGGAGGGGATTGGGATTGGGGCAGGGAGGGGACTGGAGGACTGAGGTAGTGAAGGATTGGGGCAGGGATGGCACTGGGGCAGAGATGGGATTGGGACTGGGGCAGGGATTGGGATTGGGGCAGAGAGGGGATTGGGGCAGCGAGGGGACTGGGGGATTGAGGTGAAGGACTGAGGCAGGGATGGGACTGGGGCAGGGATGGGACTGGAATTGGGGCAGGGATGGGACTGGGATTGGGGCAGGGATGGGATTGGGGCAGTGAGGGGACTAGGATGGGATTTGGGCAGAGATGGGACTGGGGCAGGGATGGGACTGGGATTGGAGCAGTGAGGGATTGGGGGATTGGGGCAGGGATGGGATTGGGATTGGGGCAGAGAGGGGACTAGGATGGGATTAGGATTAGGGCAGGGATGGCATTGGGGCAGTGTCAGGATGAAGAGATTGGAGCAGGGGTGGGATTGAGGCAGTGACAGGATTTAATCACTCAGAACCCTGATTTCAGATCAGGAACAGGGGACTGAGCTGATTCCCTGGGATGTCCCTCACGTTCCCCCAAACACCCAGAGATCAGAGGGGTGGCTCAGGGCTGGCACTGACACAGCCTGGTTTACACTCCCAACTCCCAGCAATGAACTGGGAGCACACACAGCATTTC